ATATCTTTATATATAACCACCGGGTACACCCACCCCACCTGGAATGACCCACCACCCCATATAACCCCCACCACCCCCCTTTCCCCCCTAACTACTTAGATAAGCCCGGGGAACTCCTTCTCCACTCCTCTCTGGTTAAGGGTGGGACCCTTGAAAACCTGATAGGCCCCAATGCCCATCTTAATCTGGAACGGCGCTCCTCCATTGCTCTGTAAAGAAACCCACCGTATCTTTGGCTCTCGGGGGATATCCCCCCCCTCTCTTCCCTCCCGAATCTGATCTCATTATGATATACAAACCATTTGTGGATTTCGATTATGCTCGAAGTTGCATTTTTGCACATTGGACATGTAATTTGTTTTTCAGCCGTGGGAATGGAGTCGGTGGGCGAATATTGAGCCCCAAGTACAGCAACCGTGAGACTGTTCAATGGCGACTGTATGTAATCAGACTTTTTCACATGCTTGACCGGTTTACTATCAGGAAGCTCGTTCCATTTTTGTTGCAATCTTCTATAGATTCCGATCATGATATGCTGTGTCGCAGCTTGTTGAATTTTTTTGGTGTCAAGATTGAGTCAAATGATCACTTTGATAACTTGAAGGTTGTCGAATATGAAGCCTGGATAAGAAGGATGTTCCAACATCAAGCATTCGACAAAGTGAAGCAGACAAAGCTTCAGTATGAATCTGAAATCGACAAGATGCAACAGAAACATGCTTTAGAACTAGAGAACAAAGACAGGCTGATTGCAGCCCTTCTCAAGAGGATTCCAAAGAAATTTTGAGTTATTCATTAAAGATACTTTTAAAATCTCGTAGTCACTGCATTGAATCAATGAACCGATGACACTGTTGTTCATACATCTGCTTTCCACATTTCCTCTGATTTCCAAGAAGACAACCTTTTGCAACGCCGCCAGCCGCAGAAAGCGCGAATGAGAGTCAACATGTATTACCACAAAGATGAACACCCATCTACTATCCACTAAGCTCTTCCGATGAAAACCACAGAAACAGAGTCATGAGCCTCTCGCGGGCGGGAGTTAAAGCCTTAATTTAAGGGGTACTCACGTATTACATTTTGTGCTGGGAAACATAACACGTAACACATATGTACCCCCTATCTGCACTATATATTCATGTATAACCACCGGGTACTCCCACTCCACCTGTAATAGGAGGTTCATGAATTTGAGTCAATTTCGAATTGCTTCTATATCGGGCTTGAAGCGCTTGCGAGAATCAAAGGAAGGATGCAGTCCTCCATACAGAACCTCACCCTCGGCGCGGCGTACCCAAACCCGCTCACCTATGGTGACATCGACCATTATCTCAGTGCTGTCGAGTATGACACCGAGGTCTCCCCAGAGGAGTTGCATCAGCAGATCACAAAAGCCGCGCTGAGATTCGTCCGGTCTAGGAACATCCCCGTGGACTCCAAGATCTACACGAAGGCAATCACATTCATGAATTCCAACTTCTGTCACATC